GGTCTTATCTCCCTTGGCCTTAGATGAAACATTTCTTTCCTTTTCTTGCTTTTCTTAGGTGGTTGTTAAACGTGAGCCGCTAAGTTCGCCCGAGCCAGCTGATGAAATTAGCGACGTCACATCGCAGGCCGAAGGCAGTGATCGCCCCGAGCCTGGGTGCCAGGAGGACGAAGAGAAGGTGGAGCTGAGCCCAGAAAGCAGCGACCGCAGCTTCACTTCTGAACCCCAGCCCAGCTCCGACTCTCTTCTCCAGCCCAGCTCTCAGCTCATCCTCAAGGGCAGTATAGGAGGAGGAGGTGCGAACGGAGGTTTTGGGTGTAATAATGGACTGAGTGGCAAACCTGGTTTCAGTATTTCCAGCTTCCTCAGCCAAAAGGATTTTGCGACTGGCAGCTCGGGGATGGTTGCCGGAGAGGACGACCTTCCGAACACAACAACTGGGGATGCAGTAGCACATCGCTTTCTGCTGAGGCAGGAAGCTGCTGGGACTTCGAGCTCTGCTTCTTCCTCTCTTTTGCAATCAGGCCCACTCAGTGGTGAGAGTAGAAGCAGTTTTGGAGATAATCTGCAAGCCGATTCTCTGTTCCTCCGCCCCCTGCATGATGGTTTAGGAAACCCCAGAGGAAATGGGGGAAATTCAAGAGGAGGACGTGGAGGAGTGGATCCTTTTGATTTAGAATTCCAGCGCTCAAGTTTGGGGCTTCATTCACTGGGACGGCCCTCAAGAGAGACAGGAGGAGCCAGCGGCACAGGTCTGAGTTATCCAGGCTACAGACGCATTGCTCCAAAAATGACCACTGGCATGGGAGGAGAAGAGGCAGTCGGGGGGATTCTTCAGGATGCTGCCTCTTCTTCCTCAAGTCTAGCGGGTCCCCTGCTCCTCAATGAGAACGGGGGGTATGAGATGAGTGGCAACAGGCCCACCTCCCTCCCTCCTCAGCTCACCCGGGCCTCAGCAGACGTTCTGTCCAAGTGCAAAAAGGCTCTCTCAGAGCACAATGTCCTAGTGGTTGAAGGGGCACGAAAATACGCCTGCAAAATCTGCTGCAAAACCTTCCTCACCCTGACTGACTGCAAGAAACACATCCGTGTCCACACGGGAGAGAAACCCTACGCGTGTCTGAAGTGTGGAAAACGCTTCAGCCAGTCGTCACACCTATACAAGCATTCCAAGACCACCTGTCTGCGCTGGCAGAACAGTAACATGTCCAATGGCTTGCTGTAGGAGCAGAGTGTGGAGATTAAAACACTAGGAATCAGTGTAGCTGCCTTTAAAGTCACAAAGCTGTTATAAAAATGTTTCTGAAGCTCTGACTGAACGGCCAGTTTTGTTATCCGCTCTGTCTAAACGAACTGATCCTGATCACAGACCAAAGATGGGGATGAAAATGTAACTTAATATAAATATATAACGTGATCTTCTCCAGGACCAGTTGATAAAGTTTCTGTTAAAAAATTAACCCCATAGAAAGATTTTAGGGATGTAGGACATGCAAAATTAGCATATTTATTTATGTTAATTAATTGCAAAGTGTCAAAGTGCACCCTTTAAACTTTACTGTATTAGAGCCTGACTGATTTGTCTGCAGGCCGATATATCAGCAAATTACCATTTGGCATTGATAATGGCCAATATATGAAAATTTAAAAAGGAAAAAAACATATTTTAACAATTTTGTGAGCATAACACAGCATAAAAGATGGACATAGCTGCTGTGACATCACCCTTTGGTTTGTGAACTCCCATTATGAAACTTCAAGATGAGCATGAGGTGATCCTTTAGTGGCGATTCATTGTTAGTGGTACACTTGGAATTAAATTAGATTCAGTCATTGCAACACTCAGAGGCAGCTGTGCAACATCAGCACTAAAGACTGACATCATGTAAAATATTGTATTTAAATTCATATTCAGTGCATAATTGTAAAAACATGTAGCAGCTGACATTATTGACTGTGCCTTGTTCTGTGCACGGGCAGTCACATCCATTCACATTCATCCACGCTGGTTGCCATTATGCGTGTAAGTGCTAAAATCTAATGGTTTATTAGATGCAAGCATAAACGGTGGAGATAATCCAGTGTGTGGGAGAGACCTGGGTAATGCTGAAATCTGTAGCATTTTAACAGTTTAACCAGCTGAGAAGGCGACAGAGTATGTAGTGTTGTAACAGTGTTTTTATTCTGTCATGCGGTGAAATGTCATCAGTACTTTGTTAATTAATAGTCATCATGAGGAATCGAGCAGTGGACTAATTCAAGTCAAATTAACGTGACATGATCGTCGTCTGTGGTTGATTTTCAGTCTGTCGCTGACGTTGTTGCTGAGCTCATTTTAATGTTGAAAATATTTTTGGTTAAAGGCCATATAATTCAAAATGTACTCATGGAGGCCTTCATGTGGCATATGTCTGCAAGAGTAACAGCCTCACTTTAAAACATTTATACTTGTAGGGGGAAAATTATGAATTAGCCTGATTACCCTTCCACCACAACTGTTTACCTTAGAGTGAAGTTTCATTGTTTACTGACGTAAAACTATTACGGCAATCAGGAGAAAGGTTTAAAAAAACAAATGCATTTTTCTGTCTAATTTCATAAAACAGTGTATTGTGATTGTAAAAGATATGGCACTACGTGACTTTCAGCCATAGCTCCTCGGTGTTGTGCGTTTATTGAAAGAACGGCGAAGTTTCAGTGACGAGTTCAGCATGTGTTGGAGGGGAAAAAAATATTTAGACATGTAAATACTGTATTGCACATTTCTGGTAAGTCTTTTGGAGAGGAGACAAAACAACTCCTAAAGATGTAAACATTGCGTGTCTGTTTGCTACTGTACTTGATATGAGTGCTTTATACGTGTCTCTTTACATATAATGTTGCGCCTGATACAAAAACACTGAGACAAATCAGTCTTTTTTTTTACAGCTAATAATGTTTACTGGAACGTTGAACTATGTGACGACATCTTCATTGTAATCCAACCATCCGGCTCACCCAGCTCTTATGATCTTCCTTCTTCCTTTGTTATTCTGTTGTGCTGGAAATGAAAACAAAGTTCCACTAGTCTAGAAAAATGTAACATCATTAAAGGAATATTTCACATGGAGAAAGTAATTTTAAAAAACAAGATTTTAATGTTTTCATTTTTTGTTAATTACAAGAAATTTTGTGTTTTATGTAGCTGTATTTTAATGTAACTTGATAAATGTTGGGGAATGCTGTAAGTTACAAGACAACTATGTTACAGCTGAGGATGTGTACGCTTAAAAAAAATATAGACAGGATTTACAAAAATAATATCACATGAAGGTTTTCTGCTAGCAGACATCCTGCAGGTTGAAAAACAGCCTCTGGGTGGCAGTATGTTTTTTGAAACAGTGTTCATGCTGTGTTGTAGAGTTCTGTTTTAGTGAACTGGAATGGAAAAAAATAGCACATTAATTAACATGTTTGCTTTTTGTATACTTTAATGATTGGTGTATTGTGACACTTGAGCTGTCAGTGAGACAGGATCATTGCTTTCAATCCTAGTTGGCACCTTATTGTACTGTAGAGTCATCACACTGTTAGTCCTTTACAAAATGACACTTTTTAAAAAGGAAAAAAAGTTATTTAAAGTTATTTTCCCTGTAAATTTAATTCAGAACTCTATTAAAGTCATTTAAATGACCAGTGACGGTTTAGTCTTTAATCTGACTAAAATTTAGTCTGTTGCTCTGACTCTCACTCACATTCAGCTTCTTCTCTCGTCATGAAGCGAGGTAGCTGTAGCAGGCTTTTGAAAAATACAAAGGTAGATATGGGATCAGGCAAAGGTTTGACTGTTTACATGTCACACAAGCAGGTTAGGTGATGTCTTCTACAGCTGTTGTATTAATTATTAAATTATTATTAAAACTGCACTGACTGAACTACCCTCTGTATGAAGATGTTTGATTTCTTAGAAAGAAATGTGTATAAAAGTCTGAATTGATTATTAAAGTCACTGCCTTATGCCCTCTAGCTTGTAAAGCCGGACTTTTATTGATATGCCAAAATTGAAAGGTTTGGGGGGGTGTTAGTTTGTTTTTGTTTGTTTTCTTCTGTATAACGTCCGTAGTGTAACAATGAGGTGGCTAAATGTTTGTCTCTTTACTGTTGAGGACTTTGAAGATTGTATAGTATGTTCAGGTGTTGTATAGGCTGAATAAAAATGCTATGAAATTCAGTTTGTGTGCAGCTTTCTTATATACAGTGCTGTGAAAAAGCCTTGGCCCCCTTCCTAATTTCGTATTTTTAAATATTTATCACACGTGTGTTAGATCATCAAACTAATTCTAACATAAGACAAAATAACCTGAGTAAATACAAAATTGTTTTTTGTTTGTTAAATTAAGAGATAACTGTGATTAACCACACTTTTGGGGAAAGCTGAGTTCAATTTCCGTATCCACACTCAGGCCTGATTACTGCAAGACCCGTTGATTCAAGAAATTGCTAACATAGAAGCTGTCTGACAAAGCTAACTAGGCTAAAAGTTCTCAAAAAGCAACGCAACATGCAATGAGCAGCTGAGAAGCAATGTCACTGACACCTATCAGAGTGGAAAGAGTTACAGAGCCATTTCTTAGGCTTGATCCTGAATCCTGAAGGAGAATGTCCGGCCATCAGCTTTTCCCCACGCTCGAGTTGTGCAGCAGTACAATGATCTGAACCAGGTTGTTCCTGTGCCAACCCTCCAATGTGGCTGAAATATAACAATTCTGCAAAGAGGAGTGAGCCGAAATTCCTCCACAGAGATGAGTAAAAATCTTTTTGCAGTTCTTGCTGCCAAAGTGTGGGAAACCAGTAGGTTTATAGGAGCAATCACTTCTTCACCCAGCGCCTGCTAGGTTTGAATCACTTTTTTTTCCATATAATTTGAAAATCAGAAAGGGGGCAAAAACTTTTTCACAGCACTCTAGAATCCCAAACTAAAAAATGTGAAACTGAAGACTAAAGAAAAAGGAGACAGTTGCAACACTGCAAGGATTTACTTCAGTCAGCAAAATATATTTTGAACAGTAAGTAGAACTAATCATCCACTCTTTGATCATTTTTTCAGAGTGGAAGCTGTTTCTTCTTAAAGCTTGAGCTCTTTGATCATCGGCTGCCCTCGCAGGCCCAGGAGGAGGTTGTTTGCCGCCAGGGAAGACATAGCATCACGGGTAATATAGGAGGCACTCGCAATATGGGGTAGAATCACTGCAGGAAGAGAAAATATTAAAACCTAATGATAGGCAGAGAGGACCAAGTGTGATTTAAAAACCTGTTCAAAGTAGCAGAATGCCCACCACAGTTTTTGAGCGTAAACAGTGGGTGGTTGGTTGGCAGCGGCTCAGGAACAGTGACATCTAATCCAGCTCCTGCGATCTGCCCTGTGGACAGAGCTTCATACAAGTCTTCCTGGTTCACCACCCCGCCTCTGCACAACAGCAAAGTCAGTTATAGACTCAAAGGGCAGAATCCTCTCTGCTGATTGCCTACAGTACGTATCCATTTCTCCAGATGCAAGTCACCGAGAAGTTAAATGATTAGTCATTCTAATTTCCTGTGAGTGAACTAGTCAACTGTGGAGGTCATTTTGTGAAACTGCGAGCAATTCTAATATCTCAAATATGAATATTTGGATTTGAGGAAACACAATGGTCATTTCTTAAAACCGCTACCTTGCATTTTGTGTATTAAATGGTGATCAGTGAAGGAAAATAACCTGTTAAACATCAGGTTAATCAGTAATTAATGAGCACAACACTCACAGACCACTCTTGGGGTCTTTGGTCATGCATGTATCAGGTAGGGATACCTGCTCGTGTTGATGAAGATGGAAGTCTTTTTCATCTTGGAGAAGAGGTTCTTATTGCAGATCTCCTTTGTCTCTGGTGTTAGAGCACAGCACACAGCCAGGAAATCTGACTGCTTTGCCAGCTCATCAAAAGAGACTAGAACAAGATACAGTGCAAGGTTATTAAAAATAAACTGAAAACTAAAATAAAACAAACCTTTTTAGCTGGTAGGAATCAGATGAAAACTAAACTAGATGCACTAATATCACTTTTATCATATTAGGTTTGTGGATGGCTTTTAGGACTTCAAGAAAGACTTATAAAAAGTCAAAAGGTTTTAAGTAGCCTTATCTTTTGACTAGCCCCTTAAACCTGCCTCTCATCTGCCCTGTTGACAGGGGATCTTTTGTCCACATATCATAGAGTAACGTCCTTGCTGGGTCTTCCTTACCATATTCTGCATTGATGGCACTCGCCAACTCAGGCCTGGGGGCCACATCTGTGTAGATAAACTTCCTTACTTTGAAAGGTGCCAGACGCTCAGCAATGGCCACACCTTTGAGTACAATCACACACTGTAAAAAGCTCATAACTGACAGAAATGGCAGTTTGACGATACGCTGATGTAAAGGTTGTCTTAGTGACGTGCTGCTTACCGATCCTGCCTAGTCCGAGAATACCGACAGTGCTGTTGGCCAGCTCATAACCACACAGCCACAGCGTTCTCCACGTGCCCCAGCCGCCACTGGCATCAGTGAGAGAAAGAGAGAATTTGTTTTGCACAGTTTGCATTTTTGCATGTATGTTTTAGTAAGTTTTCCACACATGTGTGATCTTATTTTGTATATGACAGTACGTCTTGGCCTCATGTGTGGCCTCTATGAGCCTCCTGGAGGTCGCAAGCAGCAGAGCTACTGTCAACTCAGCAACAGCATCTGTCAGGACTTCAGGGGTATAACCTATACGGATTCCTCTGTAGGGGAACATAAACATTGCATACAACGTTACATGAATATTTCACTGCCTGTTTGCATGTTAAGAACCTTTTTTCATAAAGGGAAGATCACTCTCAGTAGAGCCATGAACGGCATTCACATGTGTTACAATAAAATAAAACAGAAAGAGGGAACTCACCGTTTCTTCAGCTCATCCAAAGACAGATGATCGAATCCCACTGACATTGTACTGAGGACCTTCAGGTTTGGACCTGCAGGAATACATCACACATATAAAGACATGCAAGGCTGTTTGTTGCATTTAGGTTATTTGTCAAAGGCAAAGGGCAGACCTGCAGCATCCAACAGTTCCGCATCAATTTTTTCTGTCAGCGTGCAAAGCAGACCATCTACACCTTTGACCTTCTGAAGGAGCTCCTTCCTGGGCACCGGTATGTCATCTGAGTCCCACAGCTCAAACTGCACCCTAGGGAAACAGAAATCACATGACTGAAGATTTAAATCAAATCCAGTTTTGAAAAAAAACAAAAAAATCCCAAATGCATGAGCACAGGTTTCACATTTATATACAGATAATGGTTCTTCTTAGAGATACATAATCTCAAAGTGCTTTTCATAGAAATCCTGGAATTTTAAGGTGCAGTGAAACATTTGTGCAGTTCTCTTTCTCAGGGAATACCCTTTAGACTATGTGCTTTATTTGACGAGACCTTAAGGCAAACATTAGCAGTCATGTTTGTTCAAAGTAAATGATGAACCTCAGACCAGACATTCAAACTGCTTAAAGTGATCACTGTCAAATCTCCTGCGGCACACATTGCGTAGTTACATAAAAATGCTAAAAAATTTGTTATTTTAAGTGACATAACAGGATACTAAAAAAAATACTCACTGTCCAGATTTGCGGAGGATCTTCAGGCCCTCAGGTGGGATCTGTCGTGTGACGTAGACGCGTGGCAGGGTTGACATCTCCCTCTCGATGTTGCTTGTTAGACCCCCGGTAATGTTCAAAGGAGTAACGGCGATCTTCTGGAGCCGACGGAGTGCCATGCGACTGCACCACATTGCAGCGTAAGTGTGTGGGCAGAGTGTCCACAGTGTAGGATGAGTAGACTCTGGAGACTGTTGTGGGATTTGTGTGTGATTCTGGCTGCAGATCAAGGGGGAGGCTCCTTAGTGAACTAACCAATATGATAAAAGGGCGGGAGTCTGAAGGCCATTGCATAGTCTGAAGGTCTGAAGGTTAGAGATACATATCCCTAGCCCCCCGCCCCAAAAAAAGAAGCAAAAATCGGTCCAATTTTGTCTCTGATTATGGAACTAGAGGCACAAGCATAACTACCCGCTGTGACAAAGACAGTACCAGAATTGTGTTTTCCATTGAGTTGTGTTGTAAATGTTTCACTTAGCTGGTGAACTTTGTTTCTTTAAATGAGGGGGGGGGGACCTGAACATTGTTTTTTATCTTCTGCTTTCACTGGTTGCGACCAGTTTTTATATCTGGCTTTTTCCAACACGAGCCTGCCTGCGTTGTCATGAAAATAGAAAAGTTGTTGCTTGGTTGATTGCTTATTTTTTCTCAAACTGAAAAATAAAATACCCCTAACCCGTAATGGCTGGAGGAGGTATTGTCACACCTCAAATCCAAAGCGATAAAGCAGACTCATCATCGACAAGGTTGATTTAAGATAAGGCAATATTTTTTGACATGTTTCTGCTGTTTCTGTCCTGCTTTCAGTTGGATGGACCTTAAAATCATTATTGTGTTACAGGTATTACTTTTGTGCTATCTTTTTCTTTTATGAATAGAATGCATTGTTGTCACCATATTCACATATACAATATACATCTATATGGTGAAAAGTCTTAAGACACTCTTAATCACTTTATATTTTTATAGGAAAACGCGAAATAGACTCAGCAACTTATTGAAACATGTGCAAACACACATAGAAATACAGTATATAAGGGGAAAAAATAGAGTTTGTACAATTCTAATGAGCTCGGAAGTCAGTACTTAGTATTATTGGTAGAACAGTGTGTTATTTATTCTTTAACACAGCCTGGACACTTTTAACCTTTATTTCTTTAATTGTGTAGTCTTCAGGAATAGTTCTCCAGGCTTCTTGTGGGACATTTAAAGCTCTTCTTTGAATGTTGACTTCCTTTTCTTCCCTTCTCTGTCAACATGATCCCACAGTGCTTCGGTAATGTTGTGGTCCGGACTCTGAGGAGGCCAGTCCATGACTGATAGTGTGTGTTTTTCTAACCAGGTATGCTTTTGCTGCATTAGCCATTGCCAATCATGAGCTTTTCTGTTGGTAGTTGTTCAAAATGTGTGTTGATAATTCAATTTGTTTTGACAAAATCCCCAACACAACTGTCTGAAGTGCAGATTGAAACCATGACAGAGTCTCCACTGTGTTTTACAGACCATCACTTATAATTTGTAAACACTGACTTAGACACTAACTGTTCTACCTCTCTTCCGACCTCTTCTGCACATACTGATGAGCTTTTCTCCCTGCTTCCCCTCCTTAAGACTGGCTTCTTAACAGCCACTGAAACAGTGAACAGTAGATTTATTAAATCAAGAGTCAGAAGCATCTCTCAGGACCTGTGTCAGATGTTTGTTAGATGCTTTACCTGTTTTATTTTTTAAAAAATTGTTAATTTAATTTACTTATTTTGTTTTTTTCCCACTTCTCAGTTTCTTCAATATTATTAAAGACACACTGCACAACATGTTCAGATATGCCAAGTTTTCAGCAAATAAATCCTGTGTTGTGGGGGAGAGGGGGGGGGGGTTCTGCTTGTAACAAAGTGTCTAAAGATTCCATTTAAAATTGGTATTTTTCTAAGTTGTCTGTTACGTTTAGATCCTTGAATTTGGTGCCTTTTAGCTATTGAATGAGTCATAGATCAGTGTTAGGTTTTTTAAAAAGCAAGCAAAAAGAAATGGGTGGTAACTCAAGATTACACCTCTGAAAACAAAATGGTGAAATTTTATTCTTTAGAAAAATGTCACCCGAAATCTAGTAAATCATCATAAATGTGTGTTATTTTATCAACAACACAAAATAAGTAACGTTTATTCACAAATATAGTCCTAGAAGTTTCCGTGAAATGATTGGTTGACGTTGGCCACGTGAGTGCGTTAACCCGGAAACACTCCAAGTTTTTTAACCAGTCACAGCCATTCATTCGCTGCAGCTCGCTGGGCTTACTGACAGGTACCTGCGTGTGATATTCTGACTAATTTTAAGTACATTTATAGCAGTGTTTACATATTGCTTGATAGAAACAACTATTCCTTAAATATTTGTCTACTCCCTGGAGTTATTTGTAGCCTCGTGTTTGTGTCGCCACTTTTAATGAGTTTATGAGAAGTGTCTCCGTAACCGGCACCGGGCAGCAGCATTAGCTAGCTGTAGCCGCTAGCGTTGAGCTTCGGCAACTTCATAAGTCATCTAGCTTTACTAAGGCACGTGTATTAACCCCTTTAATGTCGGGCTTTTTTTAAGCCGCTTGGTTAATTCAGTTCAGGTCAGCTCAGCTCGGTGGGGTCAACCATGTTGCTGACAGCTAACTGGCATCAACAGTTAGTTAGCTGTGCGGCTCATTAACAGCAGGGCGTTGGTTTTAAATCTATATCGCTCAATCAGACAAGGTTAATTACTCTATTTATATTTTTAACAGGAAGCATCTCTATCTTTGAGGCACTTGCTCTCCCCCCCTTCCCCTCCCACCATGGCTACAGACTCGATGGAGATTGACGACTCTCTTTACAGGCAAGCCTCACCATCCTTATAATTTGCCTTTTTAATGGTTTATATTACAACCAGCGCCGTTATTGTTCGTGGTGTTTCCATTCGTCCTTCTAGCACATTCCTTCACAGTGACTCTTCATCTCTCTCTCACTCTTTAGCCGCCAGCGATATGTGCTTGGAGACAGTGCCATGCACCAGATGGCCCAGTCCTCAGTCTTTCTCAGTGGAATGGGAGGACTGGGAGTAGAGATAGGTAGGCAATATTTAATGGTTTGGTGTTTGTATGAGCCATGCAAGGAACTCTAACATGACTCTAAATCTTTTGGGTTTGGTTTCGCAGCAAAAAATATTGTCCTGGCTGGTGTAAAGGTAGGCGCGCTCTCTTAATATTACAGCAATGTGTCATTCTCAGCATCTTGCAAGTCCAAAGGTCTTGTAGTCATAATTGTTCGAACCTATTGTCCTGTTTGTCCTCTGTGTGTACAGGCAGTCACGCTTCATGACACAAAACAGTGTGAGACCTGGGATCTTGGCTCCAACTTCTTTATCCGCAAAGAGGATGTTTTGAGCCAGAGGAGGAGGTAATGAACCCCACGGGCAGGACTCTCCTTACGCTCTTAAATAGGCATGCACCAGTGTAGCTTATTCATTCCTCATGAAGATGCCTTAAAGGAGCGGGCTGATAATATTGCTGAATAAATACATTGCAAACCATTCTCTTTTTATGTGAAACAGTCATTATTAAAATGACAAAATAACAAGATCAAAACCTAATTAATTTGAACTTGTTTCCTTTCATCTTGGTCTGTGCTTAAATTGAATTGATACATTTAAGCTATTGCTGCTCCCCTTTGTTACTGTGTATGTCTGTTTAACCATACCCTCCTTGCTTGCACAAGATAATTACGGACTGCACTAATCAAGTTGTGCAGTTGTAAAAACTTTACAACTGCACAACTTGATTAGTGCGGTCCGTAATTGTGGAAACTACACAACGATACAGAAATGGTGACACTGACAGGGACAGCACCATTGTCTGCTGTTGTCATCAGCTCAGCTGATCACTGTTTGGTTTCTGTTAAATCACAATTAGGTCACAAACAGTGAAAGCCACCAAAGTGACGATCCTTTCTTGTTAGTTTCATGTTGTGCTAATGTACCAAATAAAGAATAACATTTTAGTTCAGTTTAACTGAATATAATTGTGATTGACCAGTGCGTACCTGATACAGCTCTGAGTAGGTATCCGAGTGATAGGTGGTATAAACATTGAGACTGGTGCATCCTTACTCAGATACTTTCTCATGTTTACCCACTCCCTTGTGTTTCTCCCACAGGGTGGAGGCAGTGTGCCCTCACGTTGCAGAGTTGAACCCTTATGTCCACGTTGACATGTCTTCCTCTGCTCTTGACGACAACACTGATCTCAGTTTTCTCAGAAGGTACCAGGTAAGTCATTACCTTTCAGACTCCGGGTTGTAAGCTAACCCATGGTTAGTAGGACAGACATTTTTTTTTTAATAGGTTGCTCCCACGCCCTCAGAAACCCCCTAGTGATTAAAAATATGAGGTGTAGGGAAGTATGAAGACACCCGCCCCTTCCCTGAAGACCAATGTGGCTTAACAAGAGTTTCCAATAGAAAGATTTCATCATAGAGAAACATTTCTGAATGTCAATAAAACTCATGAAGCTACTCCAGCAGTGTGATTCACTTCACAGCTGCCTCTTACAGATGTTCTAGTTATGTTTCTCCCCTGGTCTGAAGGAATGTTGAACCTAAAGGTCGGCATTTCATAACGGCACGGCAAGTCGCGAAGGGTTGATCTCGTTTTTATATCGATCATGTATTTGGCCACCAACTGGCATTCAATTTAAAATAAAATGCTTGTACGTAACTGCTTTTCTTCTCTACCGCATAGTCTGCTATGGACTCCAGGTAATGTTTAGTGTCTGCTCTGCTTCCTCCTCTAGTGTGTGATTTTGACTGAGGCCAGATTGAGCCTACAGAAGAGAGTAAATGAGTTCTGCCACTCACAACAACCCCCTATCAGAGTAAGTCTGCTCTCCTTGTTGTGCTTATGCATTACAGTTGCACTGCGAGAGCTCACAGATGGGTAAATATTAACCAAAACTGTTGCGTGTGTATTGCTTCAGTTCATCAGCTGTGACGTGTACGGTATCTGTGCACGAGTGTTTTGTGATTTTGGAGAAGAGTTTGAGGTGTTCGACCCCACAGGAGAGGAGCCCAAGGAGGTTTTCATTCAAAGTATCACTCAGGTATTCCCCCCGACCACACCCCACAAAAAATAAAAAATGACAGATAAATAAATTGTTCCAGCTTTTCTTCAAAAAATTCAACACCTACAATTTGCAGCAAAGTTTGCCTGTTAATCTTCTGCTTAGTCAGTAAATGAGCGAACTTTGGGTGAACTTTTCTGCAAACTGTTTTAGGATAATCCTGGGGTGGTAACCTGCATGGACAACCAACCCCACGGCCTACAGACAGGGCAGAGTGTTGTTTTCAGAGAGGTCGGTGGCATGGTGGAGCTCAACGGCACATCTCGGCAGGTTTCAGGTACTATGGTTACAATTTTATTACTGTAATGCATAACAGCGGCGTCTCCAAGATTATTGTTATTATTTGTACAAACTCAAACTGGTGTTTTTATTTATTTTGCTGGACGCAAATGCAAAAATGTATCTGGCAATGTCTTTGGTGACTTGTTTTCTATATGTATGTTCATATTAAGTGTGTGTGTGTGTGTGTGTGTGTGTGTGTGTGTGTGTGGTTATAGTCCTTTCTTCTCACAGCTTTGCAATAGGAGACACATCTCAGCTACAACCATACACACATGGAGGTTTCTTTGTCATGGTGAAAACCCCTAAAATGTACAGATTTGTAAGTAGACTAGTTTTCATATTAACAGTGTCGTCCAGTTATGATTTAAAAACATGCAGATATGTTTAAATGACCATCACTTGTGTGTATGCTAACAATAACTCACAATATTTATTTCAGGAAACATTAGAGCGACAGCTGTGTGAACCTCGGGTCCTGACTCCAGACTTCAGTAAACCAGAGGTAAGAGGAAACTAGGGAGAAACTTATATCCTACAGAGGGGAATAGTGTGACATTTAAACATCGTTTTATTGCAGCTTCGTGACTCACATGGCTAAGAACAGTGTGAGTTAGAAACTGATCAAAACTTTCCCATGGCTCTCTTGCTACACAGTTGGTTCTCCTGACAGTATCCCACATGCTTAAACATACTGCCTTCACGTTTAAACAATAGAAACATGTACAGAGCAGAGATGCCCTTTCTTTCACATTGATGTTTAACTAGGTTTACAAAACAGGTTAAATTAACGTAGACCCAGTGTTTCTTAGCCAAGTTCACAAATGCCTGTTTTTCTTTGAGTTTAAGAAGCCGATTTCTTCAGTCCTGTTTTAAATCTGCTTCTCAGGCCCCACTTCAAATCCATGCTGGCATGTTGGCACTGGACACCTTCCAGGAGCAGCACAGTAGACTTCCTAACACTGGGTAAGTAAAATTTCCATATCAGATCAGTACTTTTTACCCTCCAGTCTAATGTTGTGCTCAGCTTTCTCTGTGCGATATGATTGCTAAGCACTGAAGAGCGCCTTTTCTTTGATGTCATCAGGTGTTTACAGGATGCTGAGGTTTTACTAAAGCTGACTGAGGAAGTGAATGCAGCTCTCAAGAGCAAAGTGAGCTTTACTGTTTTCCACATTTCATCACTGCAAAGGCAGCCACTCATTGTCTGACAGATGACTGCATGCACACTGGTGTGATAACATTATACTCTTTTCCTCTCCTCTGTGACTCCTTCCTCCCAGGCTTCTGTGAATACTGAGCTAGTACGCTGCCTTTCAAGGACAGCAAGGGGTGCTCTCCCTCCATTAGCAGCAGCTGTTGGAGGTTTAGCCAGTCAGGAAGTTCTTAAGGCCATCACAGGGAAGTTTGCACCCCTGCAGCAATGGGTAGGTCACTAAGTTTGAAGCTGTGGTTTTATAGCTCACTGTAAGCCGTTTTCCAACCCTGAAAGAAAATGTTTTATTATCCTGTTTTGTTTTGTTTTATCGCATTTTTAGTTTTATCTTGACGCTATTGAGGTAGTCAAGCCACTTCAGTCTCTTTCTGCTGAGGAGTTTTCCCCTAGGGGTGATCGATATGATGGATTACGAGCTTGCATTGGTGACTCACTGTGTTTACAACTACACAAGCTAAGGGTCTTTATGGTAAGATTTAGAAGTTCTCAATGTGTTTAAGGTTTTTATTGAATCATGCTAGTTTACCCCAAAATAAATTATTTTATAGGTTGGCTGTGGAGCAATAGGCTGTGAGATGCTGAAAAACTTTGCCCTGCTTGGAATTGGATTGGCCAAGAACTCAGGGGAGGTGGGTATTTATTCTTTATGCATTTACCTAAGTTTTACCTCACTGTGAAAAGTTTACTGGAATTTCATTTGCATATTTAACTTCTCAGGTGTGCATCACAGACCCAGACCTCATAGAAAAGTCTAACCTCAACAGGCAGTTTCTCTTCAGGCCACATCATATACAGGTGAATAGACGTGCATTTCTGCACCGGTCAGGCTCGGGCTTGGTCAGCGCATTGCTGCATTTAAGCAATCTGTTTCCTCTCTGCTTTAGAAACCCAAAAGTACCACAGCAGCAGAGGCTACTCATGATATAAACCCAGACCTACAGGTGGAAGCTCACCTCAACAAGGTGTGTCCGGCTACTGAGAACATCTACAATGACTCATTCTACTCTTCATTAAACATAGTGGTCACTGCGCTGGACAACGTAGAGGCACGGAGATATGTGGACAGGTTGGTGAAGACATTGTAACGATCACAGCTTCACTTCATTCACTTCAGTATTCGATGTTCAATGAACCAAAGTGAAGCAGAATCCATGTATGATTATTGTGACCCCTGACCTCATGATTACCATTGTCATGACATGAATCTAGAAGTTGCAGTTTAATAAAGTATTTGTTGTCATTTAAAAAGAGTTTTTTCTTTTTTGTAACTTATGTATTTTCAGCCGCTGTGTATCCAATCAGAGGCCTCTCCTAGACTCTGGCACCATGGGAACTAAAGGGCACACCGAAATCATTGTGCCAAACTTGACAGAGTCTTACAATAGCCATGTGAGTCTGTGGAAGAGGCTCATGTTATTGGTTTTCTGTGCTGGACATGTGCAGTCCCGTCACCAACCTAAAATCGCTTTTCTTCTGCCTCCCAGAGGGACCCCCCAGAAGAGGAGATCCCATTCTGCACTCTCAAGTCTTTCCCTTCTGTTATAGAGCACACCATCCAGTGGGCCAGAGATAAGGTCAGGCAGCTGAAAGACCCAACAGTATTTTTTTTTTTTTTTCCACACTGCAAATTATTGTTTTGAAAGTCTGAGTGTACTTCCTAATTGTTATTTTATTTTTTAAATTTTTGGCTTTCTAGTTTGAGAGTGCCTTTGTCCACAAGCCCTCCATGTACAACTCGTTCTGGCAGACCCATTCCTCGGCTGAGGTGGTGCTACAGGTAAGACACAAGTGCAGTTTTCACTGATGAAAATCACCCCAGCAGTGCAGCTGTTTAATCAATAAAAACAACTTTGATTGTGTGTGTTTGTCTGTGTAGAGGATGCAGGCAGGGGAAAGTCTGGAAGGGTCATTCCAGGTCATAAAGCTGCTGAGCAGACAGCCCACTCAGTGGGAACAATGCGTCGCTGTTGCTCGTCTGAAATTTGAGAAATATTTCAAGAGAAAGGTAATGAAAATACACATTCCTATCGAAGGGGCTGTGTGGTTTACGATTATGTTTTGTTTGGGTTTTTTTTCTTTTCGGTTTTTTCACTTTACTGCTGTTTTCATGTAGGCCCTACAGCTGCTGCACTCTTTCCCCCTGGACACAAGGTTAAAAGATGGAAGTAAGTGTTAAATAATCAGATGGAAACCAGAATCAAGTTGTCAAGCAAATTAACGGGTATAGCTAATTTATTAATGGCACGTAAAAGTATTTAGTGAAAAATCTCCCAATTCCTCAGGTTTGTTTTGGCAGTCTCCAAAAAGACCACCAACACCTCTTGAATTTGACTTGAAAGACTCTTTGTAAGTATGCCCTTCTGCTAACCGATAAGCTAAATATACTCAGATATTGGCTTTTAAACTCTCCTCTGTTCCCATCAGGCACTTTGCTTTCATTGTGAGCACTGCCCGGCTCTTCGCAGGGATTTATAACATCCCTTATTCAGAAAGGGTGGGTGGCAAGCATTTAAATCTAATCGCACACATACACAACACACATACGTAATGACTTACTGACTGCGCGATTGTGTTTTTCAGGATCTTTCTGAAGAGGCTATTACCAGGATTCTTGCAGATGTCAAGATTCCAGAGTACAGGCCCTCAGAAAAAGTAAGCTGTTCTGTTGATCTGAACTTTACACTTTCAAACAAGCCCCCCCCCCCCCCAAAAAAAAACAAAACCAGAAAACAAACCACCCTAATCTTTTTGATGTGACTCTGTCCCTACCAGTGCATAGAAACAGATGAGACGGCAAGGAAGCCTGATCAGATAAAGATGCCTCTAAGCAGTGAAGAGGAAAGGGACGCCATCACTCATTTGGAGCAGGCTATTGCTACTGACAGGGTCACACCAGGTATGCAAATACTCAACATATCCTTTTTCTTTTTTTTTTTTTTTTTACGTCTGAAGGAGACACAAGCTGACTGACAAATTGAAAACGTGAAAGCTGGAGTGTTACATTTGTGATTAACGATTGGAGTGTGTGTCCTGTAAATTGTGCAGAACGGTTACGGATGAGTCCACTTCAGTTTGAAAAGGATGATGACAGCAACGGTCACATGGACTTTGTCGCATCAGCATCCTCTCTCAGAGCCATCATGTACTCCATTGAGCCAGCTGACAGACTTAAGACCAAACGCATTGCTGGGAAGATAATCCCCGCCATTGCCACGGCAACAGCTGCAGTGGCTGGTTTGGTGAGCACAGACCTTGAGATACTCATGTGGTTTTTAAGGATTGCATCCAGCAGATAATGCTCATCATCCATTAGGTTATGTTTTGATTGAAGAATAAGGTGTACAAATATGTTTTTAAAATGTTGATTTAATGGTATGGTAACCTTGTGTATTAATGTGATGCACTCAGGTGGCGCTGGAGTTGATCAAGGTGGTTGGAGGCTTTGGGTTTGAATCGCACAAAAACTGCTTCTTTAACTTGGCCATTCCTGTAGTCGTTCTTACCGAGCCTGCTGCAGTCAAACAGACACTCATCAGGTACACTCATCATATTCACGCTTTATCACACCTCCACAGAATAATGGGACTTTCGACAAATTACGATTTCATCCAGACATTGTGATGCAGCACAAGAGGTCGCCATAGTGCTTTGCTCTACATGTTTCATGTCACTTTTTAAAAAAAAAAAAAAATTTAATATGCCGGATGCGCTTCTCGAAACTCCTCCTAAGGCATTTGTGTCTCCTGAGTCAATGATGAGCTCAGTTGTGGCTCCATGGTTTAGTTGTTAACATGTTCGCCTCACACGCGAAAGATCCCAGTGGGAAACGCAAATCCAGCCTCACGGAGTCATAAGACAGTGCGGTGCTAATGCCTGGAAGAAGGGTTCGGAGAGTTGTATCCGGAGTAAATGTCTGTGCCAAATATGCAGATCCATCCACAGCAGTGACCTCTTGTGAAATAAGGGGATCTCAGATTTTTAACTGATGTTATGAAGCTCCGACTTCCAGTGGACTGTTCTGTAAGAAGATGTTGCTGTTTTTGGATTCTGTGTACTGAAACTTTCAAGTCCCGCACTCTTAGTGACCACTTACTGTTGCACTATCACAGCATCCATGGGGAAATTACATTTACCATGTTATTATTATAATGTCATGTAGTAACAGCTCCATTGCATCTCTTCCAGGAACAACATCTACTACACCATCTGGGACTGCTGGACTGTCTTTGGCCACGAGGACTTCACTCTCTCTGACTTCATGAATGCTGTCAGGGTATGAAGCATTTACTCCCATTATCCAGTGATTTGCAGCTGTTAGATTATTGTATTCTTCCTCAGATTCTTGTTGTTGCAGAGAATATTTTCGTTAATGAGCTGTTTTGTTATTTACAGGAAAAGTATGGAATTGAACCCACTATGGTCGTCCACGGTGTAAAGATGCTCTATGTGCCTGTGATGCCTGGACACTCCAAGAGGCTCAAATTGACGTATGTGTTTTCCTCCAAACTTTTCCTTATTTCGTCTTTCTTTTTATAATAATAGTGTTTTTGAAGGGAGTAGGCAATGAATGTGTTGCTTACGGGCACATCAGAATCTGGAGGGTGGATACTCTTAAACAAGAGATTAAAGCAGAGACACTCACACTTCCCTCACACTGCCTACATAATGTTTTCCTGGTCTAAACTTCCAGGTGTGTGCCTGTACATGTGCTCATTACAACGTTGTTTTTTTGTTTTGTTTTTTCAATTTGCTGAAATGTTCACAGTGCATTTATTCGTCTATCTTTGCCTCTGATTTTACACAGGATGCATAAACTAATCAAGCCATCAGTGGACCGCCGCTACGTAGACCTTACTGTGTCATTTGCTCCCGAGGCAGATGGAGATGAGGACCTCCCTGGTCCTCCGGTCAGGTACTACTTCAGCCCCGATGGCGAGACTCCCTGACACCTCCCTCAATGTCATCCTCAAGCCTCCTGTGTCCTTATTTCCCTTCTTTTATGTAAATTGTTACACCCCAATTGCTTTGGCATGGGCCAAGAGTTTTCCCTCAGGATGTTACCTGACAAAGTCAAAACTCCTTGCCTTAGCACAAACCCCTCTTGTACTTCATGGAGCAAGAAAAGCCAGTCATGGTCCCAGTTCCGTTTTTTTGTTGTTGTTTTCCCCTGTTGCCTAAGATCTAGCCAGTGGAACACAAGGAGTAGCACTTATAATTATACCTGTGTACATATACTTTGTTCCTTTTTTTTTTTTTTTTACTCTGGTGAAATGCACAGCTCTGGTTGTGTCGATGCCTTAATTGATTATTAACCTTTTTTTTTTTTTCCTGTTTGTGGCAGCGAATCTGACTAAAATCTGTGTTTACAGGAATCTTTAAACTCCCAACACACAGACCCATTTAGTTGTTGTGTTCAACTTTTTTTTTTGTGAGTTAAACTTTTGGCACAATAAAAACAAGTAGTTGGTAGGCCTCGCAACATCTTCGTCCTCTGAGTTCTTTGAGAATATTGCCAACCACAAATTTGCCAATTATTTTCTGTCTCCCTCTATAGAAATAAAATTTAAAAAAATCAAGATTTGTTGTATAATTTTAAGGTGCAACAAGTTAAGTGGACAATGGCAAAACCACCAAAGATAGTGATTATCATTTTGTCTGCAGATTCTTTTTTTTTTTTTACCTCCCTCCATCACTTTGACTGCCTCATTATAAAACATGTTTCAAACACGGGGCATGGATATCACCCAGCATTTGAGAGCAACACACAAGCTGTGTTTTACTTAAAGGTTAAGCTGAAGTTGTTCTGCAGTCAGTCGGGTGTAAAATGACACCGTCAGTGTGTGGTGCACTTAAAAACAAAAAATGGGTTAAAAAAAAAAGTTAATTGTAGCTGTTAGTCTTACCTACCTTAATAAATACTTGGGTAATGACTGCACTGACATTCGTTTGAGCAAACAAGATGTTCTTCATTAACAATACAAAAACTGACGTGAGTTTACTGTTTCACACATAGAAAAGCCTTATTTTGACAGACATTAAACATCTGAGATCACACTCCTGTGTTATAACACATTTGTTTTAAAAGAAAATCTTTGCTGTTCATGATTTGTTGTATTTGTTCATGAATGTCTGTGACATGTATTTATTTACTTGTTATGCTTTTTTTTTTTTTTTTTTTTTTTTTGTTTCTTTGGGTCAAACTGAGCCTGTATTGATGAGCTCTGAGTAATGGTGCACTGGTTAAATAATCAATAATGAATAGTAGTCATCCAGAAAGTCTTTCTCCAGGTTTATAATTCTCCCTTTCATTAAGTTCCAGGTTAAAAAGAAGGCTTTCAATCAGTCTGTAGTGCCTACAGTGGCAATAACGTCAGTGTAGTTTTGAATGGAATCAGTTAAATTGAACTTTGTCTTGAAGATTAAGTCTCATCTTATCATCTGTCTTGGACCTTCTGGCTGAACACCACAACGAGATGCTTCCTCAGTGTTCCTTTGTTTCTCTGCTCAAAACCAGAGGTGGTGAAATTTCCTTTCTACAGCAGATGTCTACCCATAATGACAACACTTCTTGTGCAGTGAATTCATCATTTTAAAACAAAGCAGTGTTAATTACAGATACTGATGTATGTTCTTGTGACAGACAAGCTCAACCAGTGGTCCAATAAAATGTGAGATTTCAGGATGTCTTCAAAATTGAAGCTGCTGACTCGTTCTTCGAAGTCAAACTTTACAACAAATACAGACACTATGATTTGAATTTATTACGTCAGATATTTATAGAGAGAAAATATTACATGTAACTGAGGTTTGTTTTTTGTTTTTTTCCAAACTAAAAATATAATTTGATACAGTACCTTGGGAAATTAAATTATAAATACATTCAAAAGTTCATTCAGATCTCATAGTGGGACTGCTACATTTCATCATTGCCACTGTAGTGATTAAAAACATAACACAGTATCTACATAGTAATAACTGAGGAAAAGTGCATTGTGTCTGGTTTAAATATCAAACTGTAACATTTCATATATCGAGGTCCTGCAGGTTTCCCCAGCTGGGTCCCACTTTGACTTTGGCCTTCAACTTCACATAGAGTTTCACTACTGACTCCATCTCTCTCTTGACTATCTGTGCAACCTGACAGAAGCAGAGGTTCGTGTGAGAGACACTTCACACAGCTGTGTGCAACCAAAACAGTAATTCCTTTATGTACCTGTATGAGGTCTTCTTCTGTGGCTTCGTAGATGAGTTCATCATGCAGCTGCAGGATGAAGTAAGCTCCTCTGAGTTGTGATCTTCCAGCTCTGCGATGATTACGGACTGACGAGATTACAGACGTGATTAATTTACAGACTTAAACATGATGCAGGGGTTATCGCTCCCTGCATATTGCATTAATGCAAAAATCCAAAAAGGGGATAATTTGTGTTCAGGTCACCTGAATTTGTGTGCTGGTGAGACTGAGGAGCTGCAGGATACGTATTTCGTAGCCGTTTCTGGATGTTGACAGTGGCAAGTTTAACAATATCAGCTGCAGAGCCCTGTACGGTTGTGTTCACTGCCTGCCGCTCTGCCTAAAAAAGTTTTGTGTTTTAAGGAAAAGGTGAAAAAAGTGGAAGAAGCACTGCATGCGTTTTAAATGACATGCTTCATATCTAAATTCTGTCAAAGAACTCGTGCTCACGTGAGCTTTGATGTGTCCATTGTTGCTGGTTATTCCAGGTAGATATCTTCTGCGACCCATCAGCGTCTGGACATAGCCGTCCTTTATACAGTTCCTCACAGTCTGTTTAAGAAAAGCATTGATCCCTGAAATGTCAGAAAGAAAATGTTTTAAAATGAGAATGTAGAAGTAAGTTTAACCAGTTTAAAGCAAACATGTCAGTGGTTCAAACCCCCTCTACAATTGACCATGGTCTGCTATACTGGATTATCAATCCAACTCTTGGTCTTGTTATGCTCCTCAGCTTGTTTTAGTACTGATAATAACTGAACGACGTTAAGAAGTTTACACTTACACAAGTCTAATCTTCACAACACTGATAAGATTAGAAAAAACATTTCATACTACCAAAAAAAAAAAAAAACCAACCAAACAAACATTCAAGATCTTGCTGTGTCTCTTTTTTTCAAGTACAGGCACATAATTTCCATTTAATGTTTTTATTTTTTCCTGGTATCTCATTGTAGCTATAAACCCCTCAATATTCCAACCTGTATACTGCAGCACATCCCATGAACTGGATTGTCTCATATGCAGAATTTGTGTTTTTTAGCATTGTGTGATGCATAACAGTGCAGAGAATATGCATGCGTATTTCAGATGGACTCAAATTGGATGAAGAAAAAGTCACATGGGAACAGCTACATTATGCGTGTGTGCAGCAGTCTGCGTGGGTGTAAGAGACACCGTGGCAACAACCGGAAATACACGGCTAATATTAGTGATATTACTAATATTGAGACATGTGTAGTGGGGAAGCCCCAGTGTATACCTTTGTATCTGGCTTTGAAACTCTCAATGTAGCATGCTGCATCATTCTCATCCACTCCCATTTGCTCCCCCAAAGACTTTGCTCCCATCCCGTAGATGATGCCATAGCAAATCTGCAAACACAGAAGCATGTACTCCCCTGGTGACCTTGCATGTGTGCATGTCCTTGCTGTCTACCCTTTCCAGCCTAGTTGTACCTGTTTTGCCTGTTGTCTGAGGCTGTCATTCACTGACTCTGGCTCGACACTCTTCCACTCAGCTGCAATGCAGCGAAACACATCTGCTCCACCATTCAGCACCTGGTGAACATGCAAAGTTCGCAATTTGAGTTTACATATTGTTTTCTTTCCATTAACCAGATTTAAATTTCACTGACCTGCAGGAGACGCTGATCCTTTGAGAGATGAGCTAGCACTCTCAACTCCAGCTGGGAGTAATCAGCTGCTAATATCATTCCACCTACACAACAGTACAAAGCTTATAGAAGCGCCTGAGGCAAAGCTACAGGAAGGACAGGTAACCACTCATCAATATGAACTATACGTGGATGTACCAGTAGTATTATTATTAGAGAATTATTATATTAACCTGAAAAAGGAATGAAAGCATGTCTCATGCTAACAGAGAAGGCAGGGCCTTGTTCTGAAGTTCCAGCTGCGACTGAAGATACCACAGAGCGTCTCCTCTTTCTGTAACAACAGTGTAAAAAAATCATTATAGCAAGTCCACCCTGCTACATCACGCCGAGCTACTTAACTTTTAAAGCAGTTAGTTTTGGGGAAAAAAATGCATTATTCTTCTTGCATTATTTTAGGGATGTAATACTATTACTCTGTTGTTGATCAAGTTTAACCATACCCTGCTTTGGTCGTCCTGTAACAACCATCTTGTGAAGGTGGGCTCTCACCCACCATGGTGGGCATGTGAATCTCAAAGTCTTTGGGCACGTTCTGTATGTTTGGCTCGGTGAAACTCACTCTACCTGAGGACAGAATGAGCCGAGTCACTACAGGCTTCATATTTAACCTAAAGGGAAAATGTATTTGACAGCAGTGAAATCTCAGAAGTCTTCGTGTGCTGGTGTTTGTGTTTTACCTGTGGCTGTGTGTGTTTGAGCGATGGGGTATATCCTGTCCATCTCCAGTGTGGGGTGGTATTGTTTTTCCCTCTGCAGAGGGTAGACCACTTTAGTCAAGGCGTTAGTGATACGTCTCCACTCCAGAATTACACCTGGCAACGCGTGCAGCGGGCGAAGTTTCTCCAGAACATCCTGCTTCGAGAAATAAATGTTAGAGTTACGAAGCCAAAATAATGATTTACAGTTTTATAATATAATAAATACGTTTCTTGACAGCAATTAGGTGCAGGAGCAACATTAATTTGGTGAAATGTGAAATTGCTTCACCTTTGTGGTGCTGAACTGCTTCCCAAGTCGCACTCTGCCACCTGCCCTCCTCGTGTATCCCAGAGTTTTCTTACTTTTTGATCCACCTGCGTCACCATTTGGAGGTAGGTGGAGTTCTAAGAACAACACCTGCGGCATACATGTGAGCACACACAAGTTCAGAAGTCTTACTACGCTTTGCGCAGACTTATTGGCAATTTTACTCAAAAACGTAGCTGGGATGGAGAAGAAGTGTCTGACCTGTGCAATGTCATCGACGCAGGTGAGGGAGAAGCTGTGTCCAGCCAGAGCGTAAGCTTCAGATTCCAGCACAGACAGTTTGGCTTGCATGACGTGTTTTTGTCGTTCACACTCTTCAACACTGAAGCCGACTCCGTTCAGTTCCAGCAGGGCCAAACAAACCTGGGAAGGCATCTCTATGCTCCTGAAGAAATCTGACATATATGTACAATATTGTTAAACAAATGTCTAAACACATATTTCTGAACACATGGAGTGTGAGTTTCTATACCCAGTGTGCCCTCTTTCTCTAGCATGCCGGTCAGATGGTTCATGACGGCGTGTATGAGCACGCTTGTGGTTGCCGCCCTAACACGGGGACAGTGTGAATGTGCATTTCCAAGTCCGTCCAGCAGCGGTAACTCTTCTGGACAGTAGACAGTGACCATGTTGGGTAAAGTCCTCTCCTCACTGCCAGGGTCCAGCAGCCAACACGCAACCTGTGATAGATATTCACAACTTCAGCATGACATTTATTTTCTTTAACAATTTTTTCCCTCCAAGCATG